GGGCTGCGCACAGGCCCGGTCTGGCCAGCCGTTTCAGAGTCGTAGCAAAGGGCTGGCAACCTGGAGCAAGCCAGAAAAACTGCCTAATCAGGGGAGGGGGGAGAGTGTTATTTTAGCTTTTGATTCCCCTCTTTGTAGTTTTGGAGAGAGAAGCAGACCATGCTGAGATGGTAAAACTGATCCATAGGAGGAGACGGTGTGTACGGGGAGATGAGGACTTCACTGTAAAAACAGGATTTGTGTTTCCACTGGATACTTGTTTAGGCAGTAAAACCATTAAAACAGACACATGGGGTTAGAATCATGAAACATCATGTTTCTTTTAGAGCTAAATCAAAGGTTTCATTTTGACTGTTTGTGATTTAACATTCAAAGCACCTAAATTTAATATAAATCCTCATTACCAGCTTTGACCATTTGAACCAAAAAATACATTTTGGTTTTAGAGCCTGGTGAGACAAAATAATCCAGTAATTCATTAGAAAACCAGGGAGGTCTAGAAAAATATGTAATTCTGTGAAGCAGAAACATTTGTTTTCTGGCTCCTTTCCTCAGATTTATCTTGTGACCCCTGTTGGAAACCAGTTAAAGGAACTGATGTGGGATCACAAATCTGCTGTCAGTCTCATTGTGTTGTCAGTCCTGCAGATGCAGGGTCTCTCTCAGTCTCGCCAGGGTCTTTGCAGGTGACAGCAGGTGGCCAGGTGTCTCTTTTCTCTGCAGGTTGGATTCTAGTCTAAAGCAGTTGACCCGTGTGTCTTGTTAGCCAGACTGTAGCTGAAAAAAGACCTGGCAGGCAGACTGGTGCTCAAGGTGTGGATGACTCACTGTAAGTGCAGCAGTGTGTGAAGTAGTGCTACTGTAGGAGCTGTGGGCCCTGTGCTGATACCTTCTTAACACAGGAGACAGTTTCCATCATATACTGTGCAGCCAGAGATGTCACACACATAACATCTTTTTCTTCACAATCTCTGTCCTGCTTCTTCATGTTCATGTTACAGCTCGTAAACACAAGAATATCATTTTAATCATCCTCTTTGGGAAAAAAAAAAGAAATCAACTTTAGCAAATGTCTGGCTTAAATAAACTGTGTCATCAGCACACTGTAGTATAATCACACAGTATGTGATTACTTTCCACCCTGCCATTTGGTGCGATCCAAAACGACATTAAGAGCAGCAATAGCTGGAGAGATGGGAGATGTAATATGCATGTGGGGGCTGTGGATGGATGAACATGAGATGAGGTGAGTGTACGTCTCCATGGGGTCTGTGCTCACTAGGCAGAGCGCGGCACATCTGAGTGTGCAGCGCGGAGGCCATTCAACCTAAATGTTGAGACATGCTGTAGAGAGATACTGGTCCCTGGGTGACATATAAATGCCTTTAATTTGTCTGAGGACTCATGAAACCCCGTTGACAGAAGTGTAAAGTGAAGACTGGATCAGTGGGTCACAGCAGTGTGTTTTTGAATTAGTCAGCTGTTGTGACTCTTGGACAGTTTTACCTCTCAGGGTTTTTACATTTTAAAGACAACAATGAAGACAACAGTTTCAGCACAATGCTATCCAGAAAGGATTTCAGCGCTCGTTTTGAAGTCAGACAGCAGTGATGTTACTCATCCTTGTGTAGTGTTTATATGTTTGTCAGCCTGTGCTCAGCCTCCACTAAAACAGAAACCTGTTTAATTTAGACTGAAAGTGAGTCTGTTTGTGTGTTACAGGAACTGTCTGGCTGCTCCCTCCGCACTACCATGGCTCTGAGCTGCTGAAAATTTAGCTTTTGTTTTGAACTTTTTGCCATTCCTCTGGACTCTTTGATGATGGCTTCCCGCAGCCAAGGCTTCTTCCACAACCATCACCACCACCATCGTAGCTCCATGGTGCCCACTGCAGTGCCGCGGCTGCTGCCTGAGAACGGCAGCCTGCTGGGGGGCATCGCACAAATCACCCCCAACCTGTTCCTCAGCAGAGGAAACGTGGCGTCAAATCGCAGCCTGCTGCTGGCTAAAGGCATCACCTGTGTGGTCAACGCTACCATCGAGCTCCCCAACTTCAACTGGCCTCACATGGAGTATGTAAAGGTCCCCTTGGCCGATATGCCCCACTCCCCTATCTCCCTGTACTTCGACAGCGTGGCTGATAAGATCCACAGCGTGGGACGTAAACGAGGGGCAGTGCTGGTGCACTGTGCGGCAGGGGTGAGCCGCTCAGCCTCTCTGTGCTTGGCGTACCTCATGAAGTATCACCGCGTGTCTCTGGCTGAGGCCCATGCCTGGGTCAAAGCCCGCCGCCCTGTCATTAGGCCCAACGGCGGCTTCTGGCGCCAGCTCATTGAATACGAGAGGAAGTTGTTTGGTAGAAACTCTGTTAAGATGGTGCAGACACCCTATGGGGTCATACCTGATGTGTATGAGCGGGACCGCAGGAATCTGACTCCATACTGGGGCCTGTGAGAGGGGCGGGGACCCCGTGAGGGACTGGGGAGGAAAGTGAAGATGAGTCCTTTTGCCCTGGTGGACTGCAGGCTCATGCCTGTTCAGGCAAAGTGAGACACGTGTGGGTGTAGGTCTGTGTGAAGGTTGTTAACTGAATACCTCTGCGCTTGGACAGAGGGAGTCTAACCAACCAGTTGCCTCCATTTAGTCTTTTTATGGGAGCGAGGTCACTTCAAGCCCAGAATTCTGAGGACCGAAGGATAAATTGGGACGGCAGTGATATCGAACACCAAGACAAGATGAAATGCTCTGAGTGTGGCAGTTGGCGACGGTCTGTCTTTTCCACTTCACTGAAGGATGAGCGCTGTGTGAAGGTGTTAGCTGTGTGTGAGACTTTGCAACTCTGACAGTGATGTTGCTGAAGTCCTTTTCCTGGTGTGATGTCATGTGGTGGTTTTGTGCCAGTTTTGCAGTAATCTTCAGTGTGAAGGGCAGCAGCATGCTCTCAATTTATGGTAGCATTTAAGACAAGTGTACAGAAAAAATATAGACAAATAATTTTATTGGGACATTCTGATTATGAGGAAAAATGGTTATGGTGCACTTTACCTGAACATTAAAGATGCTATTGTATCTGCTTTTTTCAAGGTGAATATTT